AGGAGCTGCACGAGCTATGAACCACGTAGATCGTTGTTGACACATAGACCGTAGTGATGAGCTTACGTCCCACAACGATGAATGACGACGTCTGGTTGGTGGTGATCGACGATGATTGACGGTGATCGACAGTGAAAAATCGACAGTGGCTTACGAAGATCGATAGGTGTCGACGACGGTCACGATGGTGCTGAACTTCAGCTTCTTCTCAGAGCTTCCAGTTCTCTCTGAAGCTTCAAGTCTCCCCCCTCATGTGAGGTGTGAGGCTTTATTTATAATATGTTATAGGTGTCATTAATGCATGAATATGAATCATTTTGATCGGACGGTCCGGAGAACTTCCTCCGGTCAAACAATTTTTAATGGACATTTGACTGCCTTAACAATGTTAGAATTGAAAAATCTTGGGCTTGTTGGATTCGTCTTGTCGAGACGCTTGATTTGACTACAAACTTGTAAGATTCGACAACAAATTGACCTTCCAAATGTGTCTGAAAATCTTCCACGAATGGTTTAATGACTTAATCAGGGCTTGATTTGACTTGGATTAGAATGACTTTGATATCATTAGATCTCTCATTGAGCTGGTCAGTTTGACTATAAGTTTGCTGAAATCAGAATTCCCGATAACCTTTAATTGAAGTATAAATGTTTTTTGTTCAAAAAATTACATCGATATTTGCGTCGGATGATGATACATGAAATAATACTCAACTATTATACTTGAATGCCTCAATATTTGTTGGAATTAGGATGTAAACGAGTCGAGTGGAGCTCGAGCCATGCTAAATTCGAGCTCAACTCGTCTGTCAAATTTTGAGCTCGAGCTCGAGCTCGAATTGAGCTTGAATGGCAAGCTCGAACTTGGCTCATAGTGATAGCAACGAGCTCGAACTAAAAATTCAATTTTCATAGGAGCTTACCAGAGAAAGTATGGGTGATAAATGCATCAAAATGATTAATGGTAGGCTAATCAGGTCGGCTCGCTAGCCAACAAGACGAGCTAGTATGAGCTTGAGCTTGAGCTTGTGGATTGCTAAGTTTGGCTCATGTGCTTGTCGAGCTCAAGCCAACTCAACTCATTTACACCCTTTCTTGGAATCAAAATGAAAAAGACCACAAAGTGACGGGTTCCAATAATAATAATAGTAATAGTAATAAATAAATTAAAAAAAAACAAACATTGTATTAATTTTAAAAAATATGCTTCCAATTTTAAGATGTTTAATTAAAACACCTTTTTTATTATTATAGAAACTCATGCTAGATATATTATTAAATTAAAGTGTGTCATAAGCGAGGTCATAAACAATTAATGATTGATGCGTGCTAGAAAATTCACTGCAGTAGAATAATGTATTATCATCTTAGGGTGGTAGGAAAATTTAACACACACTCAGAAGAGAAAAAATAACTAGTAGTCACGCCAAAAATTTTTACGTGGAAAACCCTGTATAGGGAAAAAACCACAGAGGCTGGTCCAATTAAAGAGATCCGCTATAAACTGAAGAATACAAGTACAACTCTTTACCCCACAAGCAGGAAAGGGTTACAAATTCTCACGAGTTACAACGTTGATGCACGAAGGAACATGACACAAACAATGGATGGCGAACGATGGTGACAGTGGTCGACAGTGGCAGGAGTGATGATGAACTTCAGCTCATTTTCAAAGTTGCAAGCTCCTCCTCGGGCCTCAAGTTCTCTCCCCCTTTTCAAGAGAGGGGTATGACTCTTTTTATAGAATTCAATGTGCAATTAATGCAAGAATATGAACCATTTTGATCGAACAGTCCAAATAGCTTTCTTTGATTAGAAAACTTCTGATGAACATTTGATTGCCTTAATAATGTCAGAATTGAGTGATCTTGGGTTGGTTTGATTCGCCCCACTGAGATGCCCGATTTGACTATAAGCTCGTCAGGTTCCACATCCATTTGACGATTCAGTTATGTCTTAAAAACTTTCAAACATGTTAATCATCTTGATTGGGGCTTAATTTGGTTTGGATTAAACCAATTTTGATACCATTGGGTCCGCTTCATTAAGCTGATCAACCAGACTGTAAGTTTGCTGAATCGGAGTTTTGGATAACTCTTTATCAAAGTTTGAACATTTCTTACCCTAAAATTTACCTCGACATCCGTGTCATGCCTCAAGATTCATATTGGATAATGAAAATTTATTAATAGCGTATCAGTCACCTCCCTATTTTTGGGCAATATCAATTTCTTCATCTAAAAATACAAGAATATGAAAACACTTTTTTTCTTTCATGATATGTCATATAGGGTTTAGGGAATAGCATTTGTGAAGGCGTGTCAAGCTGAGGAAAATAACAATTTTTACACTTAAACGACTTAATTCTTACGATGTAACGGACGACAGAATTTGGAAGATCGGCCGAATTGGGAAGACGGGCCGTTGAATGTGGAATGGCGAAGTTATGGGGGAGCCGAAAAAGCAGGAAATTGAATGGATGGGTAAATTTCGGGAATTTGAGACAGAAGTTGGAACGTCAGAGGTCGGAAGATGGAAGATTAAACGTTAAGAGGTGATAGTATGAAAAGATTTCAATTTTTTCTGTTAAAAAAAATAATTGTTTTTAATGCTAGGAGTTCACTTTGAGTTTGAGCCTACAAAATAGTGCCTAAGAGTTAGAAAAGAAAATCAGGTCAGGAGTGGGGAGGAGAAGGACCAAAAGAGGGTTAGTGGCGGGTGTAGTTTTAAGAGAGGGAGAGAGGGTTAACGGAAGGTGAAGAAGAAAAATGATGCTGTGAAAGTTATCCCAGATTTTGCTCTCGCAAACCCTCCATGATTTCTTTCGCGGTCTTCTCTCACGAAGAAGCAAGAGAAAACTATCTCGAAAGTTATCTCTGACCTTGTCACTCAGGACCTCTGGAATTTTCTTTTGCGGATTCTCTCATGGAGAGCAGGAGAAAGCTGTCATAAAAGTTGTCCTCGACCTTGTCTCGCAAGACCTCCTGGATTTTCTTTCGCGGTCTTCTCTCGAATTGTTGAGATGTCGATGCCCGGAGAACTACAACCTGCGCAAACTTAGAGAGAAGTACCAAAACTCTAAGGAGACGATGCTGACATCATTTGACGACGAGCTGACCCTTACTTCGAGGGAATTGAAGATCAAGATTTTAGAGATAAACCACATCCTTGGCGAGTACAAGAGGGTGAATAGCTCGCCTGCAATAGATATATTGTCATTGGGACACCAACTAGCAAACTCTCAAGATGACCCATCTTCGATGGCGGTTTTTCTCTCCCAGCAACATAGGGAATTGATGGATGCTCGAGAAGATTTGAGGGAGACACGAGCTAACGTAGATCAACGCATAGAGATATTGCAAGATTTTCAAGACAGGATGTTAATCCTTGAAGAGGTGAATAGAAAACTGTGATCATGAAAAGACAACTTTTATCTAAAAGACAACTAACCCGCTCCCAGCCCGAAGGCAGTTCCGGAGAGCGTACTCCTGATAACAAAAGGAAAATTGATGTAGACTTATGTCTTTATTTTTGCTTTTTTCTTGCATTTTTATTTATGCTTTATTGTATGAATCATACTGGTGTAATCATTGATTGATGATGCGACCATCTGTATGTTCTGCTTGATGCGGTAAAATTTTTTATATTGCTTCTGAGCCGTGATTTACCCTCATCTGGGATGTTGTGGTTTCTCAATCATGCAAAATATTATAATTAAAGTTTGTACGCGCACTTTACATAAAAAAGAATCACATACATTTTTAGACCAGTGCCTTCGGAGATTTGTATCATTTTAAGCGTGTATCTTCTGAGGCTTGTGCCTTCTGATCTTTATGCATTCTAGATGCCAGAAATGCGTCGGTGCCTTTTGATACTCATAGCCTGTATGTGTCTCCTGAGGGATGTAGCTTTCAGAGGTCTTTGATGTCTCTGTTCTTTTGAGGCATGTGGCCTTCTGAGGTCTTTGATGTACCTGTGCATCATGAGGCTTGAATCTTCTGAAGTCTTTGATGTACTTGTGTCTTTTGAGGCTTGTAGCTTTCTGAAGCTTTTAATTGGAGACCCTATCAACCACCTCCTCTATTGGAGTTTTTCTAGTGAAGACTTTGCTTCCCAATTAGACTTGCCTCTTGGGCTCACGTTCCAGGGGAATGGTAGCTTCCATCGAGTCATGCCTCTCGGGCTTGACTTCCAGAGATACCATATTATCCCATCAAGTTTTGCCTCTTAGGCTTGACTTCAAGGGGCATGACAGCTTCCAATTGAGCATTGCCTCTTGGGCTCGACTTCTAAGGGTGTCAAGCATGATAGCTTTTCATTGAGTCCTGACTCTTAGGCTCGACTTCCAAGGGTACCGTATTTTCCCATCAAGTTTTGACTCTTGAGCTCAACTTCCAAGAGCATTGTTGGAGACCTTGTCTGCCACTACGAATGTTCAACTTTTATCAGGCTGTTAGTCAAAACATGTTTGTTTGATGACTGTAGAGCATAGTTAAAATGAGAATCCATTAAGAATATAAGACATATCTTGGGTTGTATAGCTGGAGATGCTCGACGGCCTTAACCAATAAGGGATAAAGTCATATGACATCCACCGAGGATGGTCGACCAATCTTAGGTTGTTTGTCAAAGTTTTTGCTTGACCACTGTAACCAATTATGGAAGAGATAAAAGAAAATCTACCAAAGATTTTTGACATATCCGTACTTGTTAGTCAAAGCTTCTGCTTGAGGACCTTAGACTGTGATGGAAGATGTAGAATCGATGCTCCTGGAATCGAATAATCTCAGAATGATGTGTCAGAGAATTTTGGGATCAATTAAGGTCAGGTTGATATAAATATAAAAAATAAAATTTAAGCGTTAGTCATGTAAATACATAAGAATTAGGTTGCGTCTGTAAATGCCTCAAAATGATGATTTGGTTCCTCTGAATTATTAATGCAAAATAATGAATAAAAACTAAAAATCAGTAAAGAAACAGTAATCTGAATACAGCAGTTTGAATGGAAGAATATTATCAGAGCAACACAATTATATTGCATCAAAAAAAACAACATACAATTAAAAGGAAGAAGAGCAATTTCCCGAATATGATTCCTAATGCTTACCATAAACAAAATCGGCTAAAATAACTTAATTCTCACCCAAACAATTCTCTTACTCAGTCACTCCAGACCTCAAGCCCCTGCACCAACATGGCAATCATGGCGGCCTATTAAGCTCCTTCAGATTCCAGTTTTTTCGAATCCAGCAGGAGAATTAACACACAAGTTGTTCTCCACAGGTTCACTATTCTCATGTTTCAGCCGTCTTGTTCTTCCCTCCGGCCACCCAATACTGCTTCACCGCAACCAGTATTTTCTCGGGTACTAGAGGGCCGTCCTCATGATCGGATAGCTTGGCACTCCATCTCATGCCACCGATCGTCTTCTTCACCTTTATCAATACATCAACCTCATCTCGAAATATAACTGCACCTTCAGGCCTAAGGATTCGATCCATCTCCAGAAGAATATCTTCCATTTTGCACCTATTTGTTAAATACAGCCATACTCTTCATTCAGATTATGGTGAAAGCTTATGCAATATTTACATAATTACCTTTTACATATTTAACAACTACAATTCAATGTTTACATATATACATTACATTTCCTAAGCATGAAAGGTGTATTTCACTTTTTCAAAGTTAAAAAAAGTAGTATTTTTTATGTGATATGAAAAAAATTGGTTGGTTTAAATATAAAAAAGCAGAGTTTATGTGAAAATATAGGAACGGGGTGGTATGTATGTAAATGCCCCTACTTTCGATAGTCGGAGCAGAAACAGCAAAAGATTAAGAAAAACATATTTACAGCAACAAAATATAATTTTACAACAGTACCTGCTCACCATTAGCCTCACTACAGTTGTTGGGCGTTCATTTAATAGGTCCTTCCTTGTCAAACGTTTCAATTTAGATCTAAATATCTTATAATCAACTCCAGTTTGACAAAATTTTTAGTGCTGCTTTGACTTCAATTCTATTTTCTAATATAATTATTTTTTGCTCTTATCTATCATATTTTTATCACACCTTCTATGAGAATTTTAAGTTCAATATACTCAATAGTTCTTAATGGCTTCATCATTCCTCAGCATATGGATTGATTAAAAACATTCGAAGAATAAAATTTTATAAATCTTTTCAATTATGTGATATTCTATTCTTACATGTGCCGACAGAAGTTCACCAGTGGTGTATATGAGTTGAGACAAATTGAATTTGAGACATGCCAAACTAAGCTTGGCTCGTTTGTCAAATTGTTAGCTCGAGTTGAGCTCAGCTCGTAGTGTTAGTACCGGGCTTGCCAGCTCAAACTAAAAATTCAATTTTTACGGGAGCTCACCGGAGAAGGTATTGGTGATTGGAGGAGGGGTGGATGCAGCGGCAGCTCATCAAAAAATGCATCGAAATTACTAACATTAGGCTAATCAAGCCCGGGCGAGCCGGAGCTGGAGCTCGAGCTCGTTTAGTAAACGAGTTCAAGTTTAAGGTCGAGCTTGAGCTTGTGGATCGATAAGCTCGGCTTGTGAGTTCGTTAACGAGTCAAGCTCGAGCAGGCTCGGCTCTTTTAGAGCCCAAAGTTCATCATTTAAAATACTTGAAATATTATACTCAACATCATGACTATCAGTTTTATCCAAACTACTGGACTTGTTCTGCGGAAATCTTTATCACAATGTCTATCAATGAAATATTATATACTCATTTTCAATCATAATTCCTGAATACTTGGTCAAAATAGTTATGAGTGCATTTTCTCTCCTTCTATGTACATGTCCAAGCGGTCTAAATCTAGTCTGCACTTTTATATCATCAACAAATGTTATTCTGACCAAACCTTTAGTATAATCATTTCTCAATCTATCAATTCTAGTTTTACAAATATTAGAATCAAATGTTATAAATAGCTAATTCAACCTTCTTAATCTTATATATATTATTTTGTAAAATAAGATTTCAAGCTTTGCAATCATTTAAAAAATGAGGTCATTTGTCATTTAAAATCATGAGGAACATTGCAAATTATATCCACGTACAATTGTATGCTTAGTAGGGCTGCAAATGAGTGGAGCTTGAGCGAGCACAGGCTTGGCTCATGTTTGGCTCGTTCAAAATTAATTATGTTTGAAATTGACTTGTGTTTGAAATGGCTCGTGAAGAGTGTGTTCGTGTTCGGTTTGATTTACATATTCTTCATATTCGGCTTGAAATTGGCTCGATTAAATTAATTAAAAAAATAGACGTAAAATATATTATATTTGAACTGCAACATTTTTATGTAATAAAAGGCACAAAACTACATGACCACACGAGTTTTGCTGATTTAAATATGTATATTTCTTTATTTTGAGGTAAAAAGAGTTGAACACGATCAAACAAAGAATTGTTTGTGTTCTACTCATTTATAATTTGAGCTTAAAAAAATTATTCATGTTTGACTCGCTTACTTAACAAATGATTCAAACACAAGCTAATTAATGAGCCAACGAGAGTTATTTGCGTTAGAAAAAATAGATGTAAAGTATTAGATTTCAATTGCACCATTTCTATGCAATAAAAGACAAACCACATGACCACAAGACTTGTGTTGATTTAAATATGTATTATTTCCAGTAAAATGAGTTGAACACAATCGAACAAAGAACTGCTTGTGTTCTGTTCGTTTATAATTCGAGCTTAAAAAAATTGTTCGTGTTTGACTCGCTTACTTAACAAATGATTTGAACACGAGTTAATTAATGAGCCAACATAAGCTATTCGCCCTAATGCTTAGTTATGTCTAAGGAAGATACTATAAAAACAAATAGTAGAATGTGGAAAGCCTGCAAGAGATTACATAATAATCATTTATGGCCTACCACACACAAATTAGCATGCACTCGCACGTGTGTCTATTCAAAATTCAATAGAATATGATTGTGAACAGAGAAAATGAACAATAAATCAAAACAACAATGCCATATCCACTTACTTGTCCTTGTAAAGACTGAAAACACCATACGCATGAATCAAATCATATGTCCTTGGGTATGTAGAGAAAGCTTCACACCTGGATCAAGAAAGAAATTTGAAAAAGCCATTCAACGTTGGAGGTGCAGTCAAGAATACAAAAATGAAACAAAAAATAAAACAATGAAAGGTTCCTTCTTTTCAACAGATTTAATTACAAAACAGGTTGATCATCAATAATAAGATTGCATACCAATCATGATAAATGCCTATCAATCCCCGTTCATATATAACACCAAGAGTAGATATATCAGCAATTGTAGGCACAACATTCATAACCCATAGTTTGGGAGATTCAATAGCTGCAGCAAAACTACCCAGTTCTGCATTCATGTCCATGACATTGCGGTACCTTCCTGTATCGAGTAACTTATTGATTTTCTTGTAAAAAGAGACATGCTTCTTCCAAGTTTTGTTATCATCCTCGTATGATTCGACCGAGAAACCAGTTACAGAACCACTAGATATTCTGGGAGGCACAGCATATAACCTTTCTGGGAATGGTTTCAATTCTCCTCCAGCAACCTCATCAGCATTATTCACTTCAGGATAAGAAGAAACACATGCTTCCATTTCCTTATACCTGGAATCAGGATGATGAATACTGGTTGAAGTGCTTGCTAATTAAATTATATTGCAAAAAAGTGCAAGCTTTTTAAGAGCTTATTTAAAAGTAAGAACAAGAGAAAATTGGCAAGAATGATGACACGACGCATAGATAAATCTGTATACTAACACTTGAAAAAATGAAGGTTATAAAAATTATATGATTTGATGACATGGCTTTTGCTTCTATCCACAACCGCACAGAAAGATAGATGTTTCACTACATCATGAATGAGCATAAAATATTTGCCAGTATATAATTTTTCTCATAAATCCGTCTTATCTTTCCTCTCTTTTAATTTGCTTATATACTTCTCTGTGCATGCATAAGTGCGTGTTAAGATCTCTATATCAACTACCTCAGCATAAATGAGAACTTTCACATTGACTTCCACTTTAAAAAGCCTAGTTCACCCTTCATTTATAAAAGTGACGTCCTTTTCTTCATATTCTTATCATCTCCTTCTATATCATCGGCATTTGTTCAGGGAGCATTTCTTTGTGTGGGGACGAACAAAAAAGAGGAAAATTGCACGTAAAAATCACTGGGATACATTGTGAGAGAAATGGATTGTAGTTTCATCAATTCCATAAATTAGCATTTATTCTACTAATTTAGACAATTGGTCAACTAGATTAGTCAATTGGTCAACTAGATTAGAAGAGGACTCATTTTCAAATATTATTTCTTTGTTTAGGATTACAGTGCCCGCAGGCGGCGGCAGTGACAAACAAATGATAGTCGCCATTCTCTGGACAGCAGCAGGGTCAATCGTTAAGTAGTTTTGGGGAGACGCGTAACACTTTTAATTGGTGGATTAGGAACAGTTTATAGACTTCTGTTATTGCATGGATTATTCTAAAAACTGACCATGTCCACTTTAAATTGACTCCACAAACAAATAAAACTAAGTACTAAACAAATTTGACCAAAGCAGGAATCCTGTTTATAAATAACCAACTAGATAGTAGAAAACTTCAAATAATAATAATAATAATAATAATAGCATAGCTGAATTTATCTTGATCTATAATTTGAATTTAAAAAAATATTAAAACTCAAACGCATCATTATCATGTTATAATCTAAACTTCAATGCAACTGCCCAACATTTCTGCATTAAGAATTTAACCAACAAGCATTTCATTAAATGATTTGTTTTTGTCAGTCCTGACAATGTATTTATTCTTTGATCTAAACAATGTGATCTGATAATCATCATCATCAACAATTTCCATCAAGAAATCGTATAATACAGAATTATCAACACATGATCATTTGATTCGTTCCAATCTAATGTCCAAACCCATTTTAGGAAAAACTATAGGTAGGGAAAGGGAAAGGCTGGTTTTCCAATGTTCTAGCCATACCACTTTGTTACTTTTAGCAATTAATCTTTTAAAAAGTTTATATGTGATGTTAGAAACTTCATTCAAAAATTTAAATTTTGACAATCTCTTTAGATCATATAGCTTTGCCAGCATCATCTTCAGAAGCCTCCAAAATTATAACTCCCTTTTATGCTCCTATTCGCTCTACCAAATGTCAACAGTCAAACCTTGGGTGCATCACTTCTTTTGCTTTGGTTGTGTGGTGATTTCTCTACTTTTAAGCAGCGATCAAAATAAATGAGGCGCATTTTCTCATACTCCTCTCGTTTGAACCAGTAAAGGGTGGCTCTTAAAGCTTCTTGCAGGAAATGGAAGTCTCTTCACTCATGGCAGCTCTTTCCTATACACTTTTGGAACACATGCTTTTCTTCCTTTTGTTGTCTTTGGATAGCAAAAATTACAGTATTATATCAATTTGGGCAATCTAGATCACTCCTTAATCATCTTCAATTCAGAGGAGCCAATCTTTATAACTATGTTTTAGTATAACAAAATATTTATCTACAATGTGTTGGGGATTTGAATGCTTTTGAATTTGAATGCCACCTTCCCTGCCCAAGACAAGCAAAGCAAGGTCTCTCTATTCTACTTCAACATGATGGACCAACATCAATAGACCTTTTAATGAAGAATCTGAGAACCGGATTAGACATTGAACCGGTAAAAGAAAGGTTCACGATTCAAAGCTTGAACCAAGGTTAAACAGTGAATTCAACTGAAAAAGTAATAAATTATAAATTTATTTAAAAAATAAATAAATGATATAATTTAAAAAATTATGTTATAAAATATAAAATAAAAAATTAATATTTAGTGCCTGTTTGGGGCAGATTATAGGGTGCGGCGGCGTTTTCAAAACGCCGCCGTCCCGTTTGAATATGACATTGGGATGAAATTTTTTGTACTGCGGCGTTTTGATATCGCGAATTCCTTAATGGCTTCGCAAGCCGGACTCCACCTGCGTCCCGCGTATGATTTTTGCGATTAGGAAAAAGTTCTGTTATGCCATTTCCAGATCTCCCTCGCCGATCTCATCCCCAATCTTTCTCCTCTCCGATCTCGTCCCCGATCCTTCTCCCGGTCGCGCTTCGAAGCCCTCGATCTCGTCTCGTCCCCTATCTGTCTCCTCTCCGATCTCATCTCCGATCCTTCTCCCGGCCACGCTTCGGAGCCCTTGATCTCGTTCCCGATCCTTCTCCCGGCCGCGCTTCCTCCAGATCTTCCTCTCGCGATTTCTCCCAACCATTCCCGATCGCGATTCCTCCCAATCTCTCCCGATTGCGATTCCTCCAGCAATTGAACCGAAGGAAGAAGAATTAAAATATCGTCCCCAAACCTTTCCTGTCCACTGTAAATATTTTTTGAGACAACCAATTCACCTTTTTCACAGTATTATTATCATCAACTTTAGTAGATGCATTCCAGCTATGTGGGATCAGTTTTGGATTCCTTATTTTTCATTAATTCTTTATCATCAGTTATACAAGTTTGATTCTTTCATTTAACATGTAGCGAATCATTTCTCATGAATTGCAAAAAAGAAACATTGTTTCTTTCATTTTTTAAAATATTTTTTCTACTTGATGATGCTCGTTAACTTGGTAAATTAAAATATGTTTTTTCATTATGCTACGTTAACTTGGTAAATTAAAATATGTTTTTTCATTATGCTATATTACATTCACAACTGAAGTCCACTGCTGGTACTCCATATATTGCTCTAAAAAATTTGGTTCGATGAGGATTATGGATGAGATTTGTCCTTAATTTTGCTGATGTAGGTCATATCATGAGCTTTGAAATGAGTTAATTGACCTTGCACCATTAGGGAGAGAGATAATTGACTCGTAGTGAGCAATGTATTTTGTTTTTTTTTTTGAACTGATCTGTAACAGCTTGCGGCTTCTGCTTTATCTATTATTTTCACCAAACAGTTCTGTTGCAAACAACTTCACCAAATAGGGGCAAAATGGTCATTTATCCAACTACAACTGCCAATAAGATGTTCTAAATAAACTCCCCCAAACAATAAGCCAGCTTATCCTAATAATCTGCAGAATATCAGATTATCAAGATAATTCGCTTAATCTAAAGCTACCCCAAACAGACCCTTAAATAACTAACACCACAATAATTATGAAATATTATTTTAAACTTTAACAATAATTGATTTTAAACAAAATTGAAATATGAAATATTAGATCACACCATACTAAGTTTGTAAAAAAAATTATAATGAATACAAATAAAATGTTGTAAGAACCTAAAATCTAATTCAACTTACCTCCCTATCTACACCTCAACCATCTTATAACTTAGTTTCCTTGAAGTTCCTAATGGCTCCTATCTGCCACGTTGGATGAGATCCCACGATATGGTCGGCTGCTCTTCCTCCCATCCCCAAATTTGCCATGTGGCTCTGAGGAACTCTTTGCCTACGGTGTAATCATCTTCTTTCTCAAAACTCCATTTTTCACCCTCATTGATCCTATCTCCAACGCCTTTACTCTCCATTGAAAACTCCCCATGCAGAGCCCTCACACAGATTGTTTTCATCCCATTGGCTTCTCCTTCATGCCTTTCTTTTTCTTCTCGGCAAGTCTCATAAATGACCTCGAAAAACTTTCCCATAGTGAAAGAAGATTTAGAAGAACCGAGCAATCGATTTCAAGTCAACGATGGACAGTGAGTCGATCGCGTCGTCGACGAGGGAACCGTTCAGTTCTCGTAAACCAAGAGAGGTTTTCAAGGTTTCCGGTTGGACCGGTGGTTTGAGTAGTTCTACGCTAGTTCGCTGCAAATCCTGTTCTTACTGCCACCCAAATTGGAACTAGGCCCGGTTCCCAGTTGGACCGGTCCGGTCCAATTTTCAAAACCATGCTTTCAATAGATAGTTCTTTCCTTCCTTTGTGAGTTAACATTGATAAGGTTGTCGATGCAACACAACAAACACTTCAAGAACCTATGCGCAGCAAAATATGACATAGTAGATGGAATACAAAATACATCAATTTTATAAATCTCCCATAACAGGTGCTTCTAGATGACCAAATTGCAAATTTTAAATTGAGTGATAAAAAATAATGAAGATGATTGCATCTCCTAGTTAGGTGAATAGCACAGAGTTTTGTATCGTGACATTGCTGCTACAGCTTTTGGATTGATGGCAATTATTTCTTCAAAATCAACAAATCTCATCTCCATTATCATGGCAGATTCCACTTTAGGTACTTGTCGATGATCTTATTGGAGGAGGTGAAAAAGTTATATAGAATTGAGAGGTGCAAAGTTGAAGAGTAAGTTTCTTATAAAATGAAATGCCTCAACATCAAAAAATATATAATAAAACTTATCAAAGAGAACAATACAGATAAATAGTTTTAAATAAACAAGAAAGAAAAAATTAGCACACATCAACTAATGTTATTCTGCCTAGTTGCACCTTGCTATGTTGATAGCGCAAAACATAAAATACTCAATTTATTAAGTAAAAAAGAATCCTTATGCTATTCAAATTAATTTTTAAGACAATTCTAGAAGATTGAGTCGTGTAAATAAAGTTTCAAGACAAGCATTGGGCGATGATTTGTAGATAATGCAACTTCCAAAGATCTATTGTTAGAGGGTCCCAACATCAAAGTGTGACTATCCCGAGTTCTTATTTCAGCATGGTCCCCTCATTTTTTGAAGGTGTTCTATTGAGAGATGGATGGTAATCAATCCAATCATTTTTATGTTTCATCATTTCTTGATAATTTAATGTATGAATAACATCAGAGTACTGCAAAGATGAGATGCATAAGACCTCTAGGAAAAAACAAATTTTAATGATGTAATTTCTTGATTTAATATTATTGATGGAAGCAAGTTCCAAAGTTAATTAGCAACTTACATCACCAAAATATATAATTCATAAATTCTATCAATTGTTACGAACAAAAGAATATCAGCAATGGAGAAAGTTGAATGTCCATGTAAAATGAATTATTTTTTTTTAACCAGAGACGATGCACTAAATAAAGCAACTATTGGAAATCATCAGCTGCTAAACATTGAAACCAGTTAATAAACTCCCAATCAAAAGCACAATTTGAGTTTTGATGGACGGTATTGTTATGGTCCTACTGATAGGATTGAAATCTCCAACTAATTTTGTAGCATCGATGGTATAAGGTACACTAGCAAGAACCTGCCTCCATAGAGGAGGTGAAGGTGCAAAAAAGTAAAAGGTTATGAAATGGCTTATTAATATTCTTTTTCCACCTAATATATATAACATTTAGAATACAGAAAAGTAAGGGTCATTACCAGACAGCATCATTCACTATTTCACACATTTTGATGCGTGGTTCATCTTGCCTTCCAGGACAAGAATCAGCATTCATTCTCTTCCTCCATATCGCAATATCTCCAATTTCAGCGTACTTCTCCCAGCAAAGAAGTTCAGCAGTCTCTTCAATTCTTTTTTGCTCTTGCTCAAGATCCTCCTTAGTCCTTTGCCAAGCCTGGTAATTATTCTTCCAGTTGATGGGTGGGCCAGAAAGTACCCAATAGCCGCCAGGTCTGAGAACCCGATCCACCTCCATCATGTACATACCATCTAAAGAAAGCAAAAAGAAAAAAAAAAATGTACTCATTAAAACAAAGAAACAAGGTGGAATATTGTATGAATTGCCTTAATGCCTTCCAAAGAATTTTAAATGCAGCAAAAATGCAACAAAATCATCTTTTTCACAATAAAAACAACAATTTCGCAATTAAGCCTCACCATTTGCTCCCCATGGGATCAAGCATCTTGAACAGTGAGCCATATCAAAGGCTCTGGATGGGTAGGGTAGCTTTATGCTTCCAAGAACGCCAATTACTGCCGGCACTCCTCTCTCCAGTGCAAATTGCACTTGCGCCTCATGTGAATCCCTTGGCGCAAAAGACATTGCCAGCACATTCCTTTCCAACAAATAAGCTCCCCAGCTTGCAACCTATAATTATTCAAAATAAACAAACAAAAAAATTTGAAATTATAAAGTTCAAAGGAATCTAAAAGGAAGGTAGAAACACTAAAATCGTTTGTAATTATGAAAACAATCTATAATTTAACCCAGGCTTACCCCACAGCCAGTGTCCAATGCAGTTCTAACAGTCCCATTAGCTATTGGGATAACAGAAGCGAGGTGATCAATGTATTTATCAGCGCCCTGAGGAAACTGTGTTCCCCCACCAGGAAATCTAAAAACATTGCCTTCATATTGAACCCAATTCTGGACGGCCTTCTCGACTGTCAAACTTTTATAAGGAACGTTAGCATATGGAACATAATCTCGACTCTTTGGCCACGGGAATGGAGCAACGTATCCTTTCGGAGCTGGAATTAAACAATACTTCTTCTCTTCGTCGGTAGGACAATGTCGCTCTCTGTAGATCATGTTGTTTCTAGGAAAGGTCATAGCCCGCCTTTGATCTTGGCAAGGAGTATAATCTATGTAGCTATCATCGCAAGGCTCAAAAGTCGTCGGTTTAGAATTGGAAAGCTCATTAGAAATGCCCGCTCCACCGTGATGGGTTTCAAAACTGAGATTAGATGTGGTTGTACAATCTGTTTGTTTCGTAATCTCGACAGCAATGCTGTCCCCCTTTCCAAAACCGCTCCTTTGCCATGCACCCAGTAGGTAAAAAAAGCAACAAAGACCAACAACAATGATTATGGAGACAGAGTTCCGCGTCCTATTATCAGTAGAATTGAGTTTGATAGCCATGAGACACCTAAAAGAGTGTACAATGATTCAGCATGAATAGGAGCACCGATAAATAGTATTTAGATGTGCATCAACAAAAAGTAAAGGGAAGAAGATCAAATGAAATGTGAAATAAAAAATATTCACTTTTTTATATTGCTGAGATGCCTTGACACTTTATTCTATCAAAATATGCAGTATTCGACACATGCCATGCATTTTCAAATACACGTCATAGTTAAGTAAACCAATAACGATGGGAGCGTCAAGAATTTTGGAGGAGTCAAATGCTAATAAGAGTCTTTTAGTTTTGAGAAAGACAACTAAAAATATGATTTTAATGATTACTTTGTTTAGATTACCTGTTTTTATTTTTTTTATTATTTTTTTTTCATTTGTAAAAAAAAAACAATGTGAAATATGAATTGGATAAAGTATTTTATGATTATTTAATCTGTCCAAATACTATATCATCTTTTCATGTTTTTAATACATAACAATGGGCCAAATATATACCTGAATTTTATGCTTTCAACATTAGATAAGCCCATATCCAAGTTATATCATGTCCATGTCCACGTGCCAATAAAAACACATAATAGGTGTACTACAAATTTTCATAAATCAACCGACAGCATTATTACTCAGCAAATCTCAAGCATATTAACTATTTTGCTGACTACACTTTTACAGTCTCCTAAAAAAGCTTGAAAATTTTTAATTTTGCAAACATAAATAAGAAGAATATTAGAAAATTTCATGTGAAAATGCAACATCTAGATTAGCAAAGCCATATGGACCAAATCATTTCCGCATTTCAGCTGCAATAATGATTTTAACAAAGAAAATCTCCAGTTAATGCTTTGAATAAAGTTATAGACGGTGAAATCATAACAGATCATAGCGTAAAATATAAACAATCAAAAGAAGAATGCATCTCATAGTTGCAGAATGGAAGCAGATGGTAGCGATACTCCTCGGCCCCATCCACAAATAAAAATTTATACAAATCCCCACACGGTACCATCAAAAAGCCCTAAATAACACTGATCCAGCTCACAACAGGAGGATCTAATTGATCACCATCCACCAACCTCGAATCTCACGAGTTATAGCATTCATGTCATGTGGTCCCTTCCGAATTAAATTATACTTATCTTACGGTCATCAACCATTAATCACAAATTGGTCCATCAGAATTCAATAATCCATGACACCATCATGAAAATAAAACCCCCCTCTCCCACTTTCAAGCAAACAATCCATCTTCTACCACCTTAAATCTCATATCCAGCCACGCCATCAAAACGCTCGCAGCCAACATCTAAAAGGATTCAAAACTTAAAAAAAACGAACTTTCCGACATCCCGTCGATAGAAACTCGTTCTAAGTTACGAAAAACAAAAATCGAGTCGCGATAGGGGAAAAAATTGCCAGCAGAACTTAGATCAAAGCAAAAAAACGGGGAAACTTACGACTTCTGAGAAGCTACAAGATCAAATCGAAGGAGGAGCGCGGCCTTCAGATCTACAAATCGCTTCACCGTTCTCTACACTACAGAAGAAGAATGAAATACAAATCAGCTAGCTCATTTGGATTGAAAATCTAAGCTGGATACATATATCGCTCATAACCCTAACATTGCGAATAATTATGTGTTACAGTCTACACCCTAAAAAGCATCCTTCGGTAATACTATGATTGATTAGATTTAAAAGCAAAAGGTCGTACATGTTATAATACTTCCTATATAGCATGTTCGGGCGTAGAATGAACGCCCATCCTTTGTGATTAATGGCGTGAAAGTCAATAATTATATGTGACGATATAATAAGCGGGGCCGAAGTTGTCGGTTGAATTCCGAATCGGGCTGTTCGGGCCGAGCAGGCAACCGTGAAGTAATGGGAAAGCCGCGTTAAGCATTAATTGGTGAGAATATGGCACGTTTGGGGCAGCTTATTTGGTGCGATGGTGTTTTAAAAATGCATCAATTTCTTTTTGACAAACTATATTTTGAAGTTTATTCGGTTTTAAAATGCTGAAAATAACGTTTTCACACCATACATGGCAGCTTTCTGGTTGTGGTATGACTTTTCCTCATTGTCACTGCACATATTTTATCAGCAGATTATTCAACAAATTGCAGCCGCTCCAAAGAGACCTATGTCTCATTGAAAAAAAAAATGTATTTTAAATGTCGCATCTTTCGTCTACATATACAGATGACATACATGCTGAGGTGACTTCCGGTCATGCAGAGGTGTCGCCCGAACGGTTGGTAATGGACGACCGAACTGAAATGAAATATTGATATAACCTTTGTTTTTCAACCTAATTTTTTCAATTTCAGAGATGTTCTGTCCCACATAATTCTTACGTTCTTGCGTATTTTTTTCTATTTACATACATAACACTTCGGTGGCATAATCATGTCGATGTATATGCACAAAAGGTATATATTTTTTTATATGATGTTAAGGATATGAGTATTTTCAAAGTATAAAGAAATTGAAAAGAGGTTGTATGTATGTAAAACCTATTTTCATATTTGAGTTGTGTTGTGACAATTATGTTTATATGTCGTATTTTATCATAATTAGTCTTGATGCTTATATAACATAAAAATTGGGTGTGCTCATTTTGTCACAAACTTGTTTTTAGGACTTATATATGCTCTTCTTTGCACTAAAATTCAGAATATTTAATGGCATCCATAAAATTCAAAAGCTTTCAATAGGGAAATTAAGATGGCATGATATATAAAAATTTGTTGGGAATTTTGACAGAACACAACATGCACCATTTTTTATCAATTTGGTATTAAATATGTTAATTTAGTATGAATAATATCTTCCCTTGACTTGGCATGACCCGAGCAAGTATTAAATGAACATTTTTGTAGAAACAACAGAAAGCTTGGTCAACCACGTTTATTGTAATGTTGGATATAAATGATCTTCAATTATAAATATATATATATATATATATGATACGCCACCAACAAATTTTCATCATCCGACACGAATCTTGAGCTAATATTTTGAGCAAGAAATATTCAAATCTTGAAAAAAAACCATCCATAGCTCCGATTTTAGTAAACATATAGTCAAACTTACCTGCTCGATGAACAGAACGCAATGATATCAAGATTAGTCCAATCTGAGTCAAATCAAGCCCATATCTTGAAAAATTTTTGAACATATTTGAAAGATTAAACGAATATCAAATTTAATGTGTTCATAGTCGAATCGAGCATTTCAACAAGACAAATCCAACGAGCTCAAGATTGCTCAATTCCGGCATCGTCAAAACACTCAAACACCATCCAATCGAGGGAAGTTCTCTGGATTGTCCGATCAAAAGAGTTCATAATCCTACATTAATTACACCCAGAACACTATAAATAAAAGCCCACCCCTCACATAAGAGAATGAGCTTGAAATAGAACTTGACGCTTTGAGAATGAGCTTAAGTCCAACATCATCCCTGCCACCGCAGACCGCCGTCGACCACCACAGATCACTGCTGGCCTCCATCGTTTACCGCCGACCGTCTTCAACTGTCGTCAACCACCGCTAACCAGAGCTGTCAATCAACATTGTATCTTGGAAAATCTAGTAACCCTTTCTCGCCTATGGGATAAGGGACATCTGTAATCATCAACTTATAATGAATTTTTTTTAACTGGGCCAGACCCCGTGGTTTTTTCCCTTTACGGGTTTTCCACGTAAAAACTTTTGGTGTCATCACAGGTTGATTCTCTTTCATTTGAGTGTGTGTTGAATTCTCGTGCAACGTTAAGACGATAATTCATCACTGCAAATTTTCTAGCACACATAAACATATCAGTGTGTGTGTGTGTTGAATCCTTATTTGTATGCGAATCATACTCAGTGAATTGAGTGTAAGTAAGAAGTGAGAAATATGAGCAATGAACGGTGCATACTAAAAAATGATGATATACACGAATCTCAAGGCAAATTGGCAGTTCAAAATAAAGCGACTAGAATGCCATCTTTTTTTAAGCAAGACTAATAATGTAGATTTGTATTTTGTTCATCATGTCTTCTATAAATAGGAGGGCTATTACATAAGGGGGGGGGGGGGGGGGGGGGGGGGGTGTGCTTTTGTATCCACTCATTTGTAAACTATATATTTTTTTTATAGAATAAAATAGGTCAACAAGTCCGAGATCACCCCCTTCGACTCGACGAGACATGGACTCCTTTCTTCCTTCTCTCTTTCTCTCCCTCAGTCAACACACTCTATTTCTTGGACATGAATTATCAGACAGATTTGGATTCAACAAATAGTAATTTGTTGTGTGAATTCCCTTTTTTAGTATTAAAATGTTTATTCTATTTATAGAGAAGATGGTACAGTACGATGATATTATATTTTTGCCCTTGCTTTAAAGGGGTTTATAATAGGGTATTTTCGTTATCATACGTGAGTCTGTTGTCCAACGACTTTCTAGATCTACTAGCCAAGTCTAATGAGACGTGAATTGACCAAATGGAACCTTGTCAGGCTGACTGGAACCCGGTCCAACTAAGTGGAACCTGACCTGGGCTAGTGGAACTCGACCCTGGTTAGGGTTGAAAAAATCATAAAATAATTTTCTTATAACGACCACACTTTAATTGTCAAGGTAGAAAAAAAATAGCTTCCTACTAAAAATTTTTTTAGAAAGCAACAATAAAATAATTCACCAAATATAACAGTGATGATGGAGGTACGAAACATAAAACAAAAAAAAGTTGTCTCAGAGAGAACTAAGAAATGCAATTATTTCTTATCATTCAAGATAAATTGTTTTACATTTTTTTTCTATGAATTCATTCAATATTAATATGCTTTAATATTGGTGCCTGAAGAGCTTAGTTGTGAACATTATTCATGTTGAGTATCATTGAAGTTTAAATCAAAACATCATTAATAAAGTCTACGTAGTAAATATATAAGACTTTCATAATTTTCTGATTATGCTTTATTCATTGACCATAGCTATAAATTCATAATTAGCTAATAAGTTGTATGTTGAAACTTTTTTTTATTTCCTTCTCTTTCTCCTTGAGAGGTTAGAAATGTAAAATGTATTAGGACTTGTTTGCAGGTTATGGGGGCCCAGAATAGTTGGTTGCGATGTTTGGGCCTACAGCATTGTCTACCTCCAGAGCGTGCTCCAAATATGGGAAAAAATTTGGGTACATAAGAGGCACGCAGTGTTGCGTGCGATAGCGAATCAGCGGAAGACACATCAGTTTCGTCGGCCCCACCGCAATACAAATTTACCTTTTACTGTGCGTGACCCGTCGACCCGACCCATTATTGTAACATCCATGTAATCCCGATGTAACCTCCGCTGTCCACCCCATGTACCGCGCTTGTAAGCCCCATATAACCCCGATGTAATCTCCGCTGTCACCCCCATGTACCGCGCTTGTAAGCCCTGTATAACTCCGGTGTAACCTCCGCTGTCACCAAAGGATGTAACCCCGGTGTACGTTCCGCGGAAACGCCACTGTAATCC